TTTAAAAGCAATAATCTCTGGGTGTGGGGTATAGCTGCTTAGTGGTAAAGTACTTGCCTAGCATGTGTGAAGCTCTGATTTCATGCTTGACACAGAAAAGAAAGAAGAGGAGGAGGAGGAAGAGCAGTGGCAGCTATAGCCTTATCACCTACAATAGTGTCATTAATGTTTTGGTTTGGTTTGATTTTGCTGAGTGCAAGATTAAACCACTGGGCTACATCCCCAACCTGTTTTTATTTTTATTTTATTTATTTATGGTATTGGGATTGAACTTGGGACTTTTTGTTTGCAAGACAGGTAGCTACAGCACTGAGCTAAATCCCTGGCCCTTTATTTTTATTTTGACATGGGGTCTCACTAAATTACAAAATTGTCAGATTTCCCAGGAGGGGCGCATTGTTTCAATCCCGCCTCAGTCTTCCAGGGATTACAGGCGTATGTCCACATTCCTGCTATTAATATGTTCTTGATAAACATTTATTGAATGAAACAAAGGAAAAGTAGGTTAGCATGGGTTCCTACTTTAGTGAAAATGGAAATAAAGACTAAAGCACAAGTCTGTAGGGGGTGGGAAGTTGTAATTAAACATAAGAGAAAATAAAGAGGAGCAAATCTCTCAAAGATCAAGCTGGTCCTGCCAAGGTACAGTGGCTCAAGCCTGTAATTCCAGCACTTGGGCGGCTGAGGCAGGAGGATTGCTGCAAGTTCAAGGCCAGCCTGAATGACACAGCAAGACCCTGTCTGAAAAGTAAAAGTAACAGATCAAGCTGGTCTGCAAACAAGGAACAAAAGAATGAATATGGGAGAGACCCACCTTTTGTAGCTGCAGACTGGACACCCAAAGGCAGAGGCCAGTTCTTACACAGCAGCTGAGGAAGTCCAGGCCTTTGGACTTTTCTGCCCTTCTTTGTTCTTTTTTTCCCAGTCCTGGTTTCGTAGTTCAGCTTGGGTCCTTGTGAATGGGTAATTTGGTCCACATGGGAGGAACTCTCATGGCCCAGAGGATGAGCTGTCTTGTAAGGCTCCACTGGCATCCAGAACAACAGGGACTCCAACGTGGTGGGAAGTCCCTGTAAATCCCTCTTACTGGCACCCTAGGTTGTGAGGAGTGACAGACAGGCTGGGTGGTGTTGGAGCTGCTAAACCTTGTTTTGCCAGCCTTCAGACAGACACGGCCTCAGCGACTGAGCTGCCTCTAACCAGGGCAGAGGTAGACTCGACCCACAGTCCCACAAAGTAAAGGCCAAGTTTCTTTGTGTTGTTTTATTGGTGCATTTTATTATTTATTTATTTATTTTGAGACAAAGTTTTGCTACTAGTTCAGGCTAGACTTGAACTCACTATGTATGTAGCCCAGGCTGGCCTCAAACTCATGGTGATCCTCCTGCCTTGGCCTCCAAGTCTGGGATTACTGGTATGTACCACCACGCCTGGGCTGGTACATTTTTAGATGTACAAAACAACATTCATCATAGGGAATCTGTACCTGTACATATCTTTTTTCCCTCCCCTCCCCTCCCTCCAACACCCCTAAAGGTCAAGTTTTGTACTCTTTTATCTATTTTGGGGATTTTTATTTATTTATTTTTTTGTACAGGGGATTGAACTCAGGACCTAACACTTCGAAGGCAGGCAGCAACACCACTAAGGTAAATCCCTGGCTCTATTTTGGGTGTGTTTTTGTTTTTTGGTAACAGATCAAATTCAGGAGCTTGCACTTGTGAGGCAGGCACTGACACCGAGCTACATCCCAGCCCTATTTTGGATTTTTATTTATTTTTTGGTATTGGAGATCGAACTCCAACCCTTATGCTTGCAAGGCAGGCACTGGCACCACCAAGCTACATCCCCAGCCCTATTTGGGGTTTTTAAGACAGGGTCTCGCTATATAGTTCAAACTAGCCTTGAGTTCATTATGTAGCCCAGGGTGACTTGTAACTCCCAGCAACGCTCCTGCCTCATCTTCTAAGTACTGGGATTATAGATATGCACCAGCACTCCCTGCTTTGTGCTACTTTAGTTCAATATTCTGCACCTGTTGGCCCAAGTAGTTCTGGTAAAAACTACTTTGCTTGCTGGGAGGGGGGTGTGCTTTTTTTGTTAAGGTCTTGCTGTATAGTTCAGGTTGGCCTTGAACTCAAGGCGATCCTACTACCTCAGTCTCCCAAGTGCTGGGCTACACCTGACTCCAGAAGAAAACCTTTTAAAACCCTCTCTGCCTCAGAAGAAAGCACAAATGATGCTTCTGAGTGACAGGCTGAGGGCTCGTGAATCTGTCCTGTCCTGTGACTGGGTCATGCCTTGGTCAGCAAGCTCTGTGTTAACCAGAGGGCTCGCCCAGGTAGTGTCAGCTGGAAGAGCACCAGATGGTAAGCACTGAATATGCTCGCTTGCTCGTTCATTCAGTCCTCTTCCTCTCTCCTTTCTTCTGAGACAGGGTCTCACTATATAGTACTGGCTAGCCTCCTAGTCACATCCTCCTCCCTCAGCTTTAGTGCTGGGCATATAGGTGTGCCATCATGCCCAGCAGAATATGCTTTTTCTTTGGTATGGGGGCGTGAACTCAGGACCTTGTGCTTACAAGGCAGGTGGCAGAACCACTACCTGAATATGCTTTTTAAGAGGTCATGCTTGGCTGGGATTTAGCTCAGTGGCACTGAACCTGCCTTGCAAGCACAGGATCCTGAGTTTGATCCCCAGTACCCACCAAAAAGATTGTGCTTGAAGGGCTAAGAGATTATTATTTGTGACTCCTTGTTCCTGTTTTAGAAGTTCAATCACTTATATCCTTAATGGCTACTCACAAGCACTAATTCTAGGAGAGTAGACACCAAGCACAATTTCTGGCTGCGCGTGAAGGCATAAACATGTAGTCCCAGCTACTCTAAGGCTGAGGCAGGAAGATCACTTCATCCTTGACTAGAGCGGGACCTGGTCTCACGGTTTCCAAGGCTGGCCTCCAACTGCCACTTTTTCCTGCCTCAGCCTCCCCAGTGCTGGGGTTACAGATGTGCACTAACACTCTTAAGTAATTTTTTTTTTAGTACTGAAGACTGAATCCAAATCCAAATCTACTGGGCTCCATTCCCAGCCTTTTTTTTTCCCCCTCTTGAAAAAGGGTCTCAGTAAATTGCACCAGGTTGGGCTCAAACTTGTGATGTCTCCCTCCCAGTGCTGGATCACAGGCATGTGAGGTGAACCTGGTTATTATCTTACTCTCACTCATAAAGTTCACAATGAATCATTTTGGAGTTAGAAAGACTTGGATGTCTTTGACACTGATTAGCAATATAAGCCTGTGCTTGTGGCCTGGATGCTTGGAGATAGGGCCCTCACCTGTGAAATAAGACGTCTCCATCTCACAGGCTGTGAAGAACACTTGAGATGGTTTACATAAAGGGCTTGGAATGATGTTAAGACACAGAAACTACTCTTTTGAAGGACCCGAGAGAAGCTGTTTAAAGCCAAGTCTATCATTTCCTAGCTGGTGTCCATGGACAAGTTTTCTGGATCTTGTCTCCACATCTGTGCATTAAGGACAGTGATGAATTTTATGTCTGTGCGGTTGAGACAAACAAGTAACACACAAAACCACAGGGCAGTATTTGGTGAAGAGTATAGCTCACACATAGAAGTTGTCTATTGTGCGTGCCTCCTTGGGAAGGTGGGAGGGAAAAATCAAGAGAAGCACCGCAAAACTACTTAGATGTGTATGGCCATAGAAATTTTAAATTGGAGAAGGGGATAAGTCAGGTGTGGTGATGTGAGTCTGTAATCTGAGCACTTGACTGAGACAGGATTGTTGAATTAAGGTCAGCCTGGGCTACAAAGTAAAACCATGTCTCACAGAAAAATAATTTTTAAAAAAGGGCTAAAGATGTACCTCATTATGAAGGCCCTGGGTTCAATCCCCAAAATCAGAAAACAAAATTTTGCTTTCCATTTTATACTAAAATTCAAATTCCCTACAGGCCCTAAATTAAAAAATTTTTTTTAAAATTCATGCTGACCTCAAACACATGGGGATCCTTCTGCCTCGGCCTCCTAAGTGCTACAATTGCAGGAGCTTATTACCAAGCCCAGTTCAAAAAGTTTTGAAAGTTAAAACGGGAAGTATGGGCGCTGAGGTGTAGCTCAGTGGTAGAACACTTGTCTAGAATGCTTTAGGTCCTGGTTACCACCAGGGTAGAAACTTTGTCTGTTTTTAACTAATTAATTTAGAGACAGGGTCTCACTATGTAATTGAGCCTGACCTGGAACTATGCAGGCTGGTTTCGAACTTGCAGCGATCCTTCTGCCTCAGCCCGAGTGCTGGGATTACAGGCATGCACCACCATGCCCGGCTGCCTTTTTTGTTTTTTGTTTGGTTTTTTTGAGACAGGGTCTCACTATGTAGAGACTGACCTGGAACTCACTATGTAGCCCAGGCTGGTCTCAAACTCAGTGATCCTCCTACCTCAGCCTCCCGAGTGCTGGGATTACAGGTGTGTGCCACCACACCCAGCTTGCCTCTTCTTTTGGTACCAGGGATGGAACTTGGGTCCTTGCACTTATGAGGCAAGTGGCAGAACCACTGATCTAAATCCCCGACCCTAAAATTGGTCTTTACTGTATTCAAAATATAATACAGCAAACCACGATAAGCGTGAGAAAACAATTACTTGGCCATCCTGGTTACACAGGGACAGTACAGGACTGGTTTGTATCAGGGTACTAACCCTGTTTCGCTACAATAATCTCTACTTTTGTCAGAAACAGCAACTGGGGAGAACAGGCTGCCAGAGATGCTGGCTTCTTATTGCCTCTGCTAAGCAGGCTGTAAGGGTCTGGATTCTCCATCCACTGTCAGACTCTCTTCATGGCCCACCCCATTCCTACATTTAATCTCACACAGGTCATAGCTCTTGGGTTTAAACAGGATCTCCCCATGCAGTTCAAGCTGGCCTTAAATTCTCGGCATTCTTTCTGCCTCAGCCTCCCAAGTGCTAGGATGACAGATATACTGGTTCTTAGCCTTTATTACAAATGTAGTTGAGTGCTCCAGAGGTCTCTCTGCAATCTTGCTTCTGTGCCCTCTTCCAACCCACACCCCCACCAACTGAGGTCTCACAGCCTTTACAGAGAGAGAATCTGGGGAAAGTGAAGGAGGGAATGCTCTCTCCAAAGTCCTCTGAAACAATCACCAAAACTTCCAGCTGTAAGTGAAAATGTTCCAGTGGAAGAAGTAAAAACTAGCTCTCATCCTCTAGGTCCTCCATGTCAACATCCTGGGAAACTTTCATCTTCTTCTGTCGCTTTGGCTGTGGCTCATTAGTCCTGGCTGGCTTTGAGGGTGCTTCCACTGAGCAGAAGAAAGAGGAGGCGTTGAAGAACCCAACACCCCCAGGCTCCCTGTCCATGAGTCTCGCCCAGCCTCACCTTCCATGGCTGCCTTCTCCTTCTGGGCCAGCCGAATCTGCTGCAGGAGCTTCCTGCGTTTCTTCCCGGACAAAGTGATGTTAGCCCGGGAGCTGGACCTGAAGTTCAGGAGGAGCAACTTGAAACCACCCGGGGTACCAAGTGATCCTGGCTACTCCTCCAGTCTTTGGTTCAAGTCACTGCAGCTGAAAACAGTGTGGGCTCTCAGGATATAACGTGACTCAAAATGTTCAATACAGTAAGTACCTCAGTAACAGGAGTGTTTCTTAATTCAAGGGATCAAGGATTAAAAGTACTTAACATTGGGGCTGGGGATTTAGCTCAGAGGTTCTGCTGCCTGCCTTGCAAGTGCAAGGACCCGAGTTCAATCCCCAGTACCAAAAAAAAAAAAGTACTTAACATTAAATGTTAGTAGCTCTGTGCTGCCGCCACCTCTCAAGCACAAGGACCCGAGTTCGATTCCCAATCCCCCCCACAAAAAAAACCTCAGATGTTTATAAAAAGGCAATAAAAGAATGTAAAAGTAGTTCACGGGAGGACACACAGGGACCTTAAAACCTGAGTGCAAAATTCTATACAAACTTTGGTAAAATTCACCGAGTTCTACACATTAGGCGTGCACTTTTCCATACATAAAAATACTTTACTTAACAACTACAAATGAAACCGGGTATGTTGGCACTCCCCGGTAAATTCCAGCACTGTGAGAGCCTGAAAAAGGAAAATCTCATATTCAAGCCAGGCCTTGGCATCTTGGCGAGACCCTTTCTCGAAATTAAAATTAAGAATTAGGAGCCGGGCGTGGTGACGCACACCTGTAATCCCAGCACTTAGGAGACTGAAGCAGGAGGATCGCTGTGAGTTCAAAATCAGCCTGGGCTACACAGTGAGTTCCAGATCAGTCTCAACTACATAATGAGACCCTGTCTCAAAAAACAAACAAACAAAAAAAAATTAGAGGGTGCAGCTCCGTGTGAAGGTTCAACCTCAGCACGGGGAATTACCCCAAGTGTATGTGAAGACCAGGCGGCTGGGAGGGCGGTTCCCGGGTTCAACCCGCTAGGACACCGACGACCCCGCCCCGCGCCCGGCCTCGACTCACGCGCGCTTGCGCAGGTGGTGCCGTGTGGTCAACTCTGCGTCCACCGCGGCTCCGACCACCCTGCACCGCCGCGACCGTCCCAGCACCCGCCGGCGCTTGAACAGCTTCCTCTTCAGCTCCTGTGGGGAGGGAGAAAGCGAGTGAAGGCGCAGCCCGCTACCCCGGGAGCCAGTCCCTCGCGGCCCCCACAGTCACCGTGCGCGGCCGGTTGATCCTTCCTCCTGCACCCGCCATAGCCGCTCCGGACGCTCCCCAGTGCCGCACTTCCGCCTCACGTGGGTTTGCACTTCCGTCCAGTTCTTGCGCATGCCCCGCCCCCATCCTCTGTCGACCAATCCCGGCGGGGGGGGAACGGCGATGGGGCTATATAAAGCATCCGTGCAGTCGGTTACCGACCTTTCCGAGTGCAGCGTCTGGATAGGTAAGTGTGGGTGCTTCTCGGGTTTGGGAGGTCGTGCTGCATCTGTGGCTGCGACCCTCCGTTTCTTGGCGGAGAGTGGGTGCGTGGTCCCGCTCCCCGTTATGTACGGAGGCAAAAGAAGGGGCGCTGGTCCCCCCCCCGGCGTCATGTCTTCGGTGCTGGCGGTGCCCTGTCTGCCGGTTCTATCCTCTAGCGCCGGGACACTTTCGAGTGAGGCCCAGGGCCGGTCGCTCACGCCTTCTTTGCTTTCAGGTCCGTGGACGCCATCCTCGGAGCTGGCATCTGTTGAATTCCCTTCAGTTGTCCAATAAACATTGCTGGTGCCAGAATCTGGGTCTGCTTTTGTATTTCCGAGGCGGCAGGATTCGGGTGACTGTACGCGCTTGTTATCTTCGCGGAATTTTTGTAGATCTTTCCTGGACATAAGGCCCTGTGGGGTGCGGCGACTTTGGGGACCTCCGATGGCTGCGCTGCGCCGGACGTTGCGCGTGCCGCCCCTTCTGGCCAGGGCGCGCACCTCGGCGGGTACGGAGCGTAGGTGGTAGGTCGGCAGGGCGGGCTCTTAACAACCGTTGGACTTTAAGCCCCTGAAGCCTGGCGCTTAAAGCCGCGGGTGTGTGTCCAACGTTTTTGCATCTTTTAGACAAAATCTCCACTGGGTGACTCGTATCCTCCTCTCCCCGTGTCCGCAGGTTTTCTGGTCACTAGTTGCCTGGCCGACCGCTACCTCTGGGACCGGCTGCATGCTCAGCCACGTCGGGGGAGTGTACCCACCTTTGACTGGTTCTTTGGCTATGAGGAAATACAGGGACTCCTCCTCCCGCTCTTGCAGGAAGGCCATGCTACCTGTCCACTCAGAGTGCTGGACGTGGGATGTGGAACTTCAGGCCTGTGCACCGGCCTCTACACCCAGTCACCACATCCAGTGGACGTGCTAGGCGTGGACTTCTCTCCCGTGGCAATAGCTCACATGAACAGCCTCCTGAAAGGGGGCCAAGGCCAGATCTCCCTGTCACCAGGACACCCTGCCTCCCGCCTCCAATTCAGGAAAGCTAATGTCCAGAAACTGGGACCTGTGACTCCCTCAGGCTCCTTCCAGCTCCTTCTGGACAAGGGCACCTGGGATGCTGTGGCCCGGGGTGGGCTTCCTGGGGCTCACCAGATGCTGTTGGAGTGCCTTAGGGTCCTGAGCCCCCAGGGGACCCTCATCCAGTTCTCTGATGAGGACCCAGATGTGAGGTTACCCTGTCTGGAACAAACATGTCGTGGCTGCACCGTGACTGTGCAGGAGTTAGGGCCTTTTGGGGGTATTACCTACTTTGCTTATTTGGTTAAAAGTACTCATTAAAACACCCGAGTCCAGGGCCAGGGTAGGAGACAGGAAGGGCATTGGGATTAGAGCCCTGAGTGAAGAGCCGTGACGATGGATTTGAGATTATCTGACTCTTTACTTACTGGTTTTCCAAGCTGACTTGCCCATTTGTATCTTTTATAAATTTGCATGTGGTGTTTACTATCTGCCAGGAACTCTTATAAAAATATTTACATATAAACTCAGGCATTTACTCTTATAGGGCACATTTTCCAATGCAGAAACATGTAAAATGATTTGCCTAGTCACACAATTAGGTAATATTTGCTCCAAAATAAAATTTGATAGGTTACACAAATCCAGAATTTTTATGGTTAGATTAGAAACCAAATAAAGGCAGTATTGGTGGTGAAGCCTGTAATCCCACCTACTCAGGAGGCTGAGGCAGGAAGGTTGCAAATCAAAGCCAGATGGGGCACTTTTTTTTTTTTTTTATTCTGAATCCTTGTGCTTGCAAGGCAGGTGGCAGCACCAAGGAGCTAAATCCCCAGCCCCAGACTGGGCACTTTTGTTTTGTTTTAGTTTAGTGTTTTTGTTTGTATTTGTTTTGAGACAGGGTCTCAGTAGGTAGTCCAGGCTAGGCCTTGGACTCACTATAGCCCAGGTTGGCCTCAAACTCAGCAATCCTACATTGATAGGTGTGCCATTGGGCCCATCTCAGTCTGGGAAATTCAGACCTGTCTCAAAAACAAAATGGGCTGGGGTGTAACTGTGGAGCCCAACCTCCAGTAGGGTGTGGGTGAGTTTCACAAAGGCAAGGATAAGAAGCGAGAAAAGTGACAGGCCTCTTGTGAGGCAAAGAGCAATACTGGTTTGAGACCTGACTGAGCTAAAGTGACTTCATGCTGGCCTGCTAATAGCCCCAGAGACTGTTTCCCCCTCCCCTTATCAAACCTCAGGGAAAACTGCTCAAACTGCAAAAACCTTCTTGAGCTAATTGCAAGCTTCGTTATCAAGCCTGCCCCGGAAACACGTGGTATGTTAAAGGTGACCATAAAACGCTACCTCTGTAAGATAAGTGTGTTAGAGATTCGATGCCACCATTTTGGGCCATGTTTCCATGTTCTTCCCACGTCCATACGCCTACCCTAAATTTCCTTTTCCCCAAGACCACGTCAGCATATAGAATTGAAACCTAAAGCTTCTGCAAGCTCCCTCCTTAAAAGGAAATGTGGCTTGCAATAGGTTACATGCTACAGATATGTGCTAGCCCAACCCCAAACCTATAAATAAGCCAACACTCTGTTCTCTCCAGAATCGTCTCCCATTGGACCTCTCGGTGTGTGTAGCCTAGTTGTTGAGCGTTGCTGTTCCCTTTCAAAGTGTAAAATGAGTAAATGTGTTTGAAGTTTCTCCCTCTTGCAGCTGTGAGAAAGCCCTGACCTGTGATTGAACCTCTTTGTTTAAAAACAAAAAAACAAAAACCTGTGCACAAACCTGTAACCGGGCTTCACTTCTCTTAGAGTGGAGTTCGCACGTGTGTAATAAAACCTCAGTTTTATCTGTGTCCGGGTACTTGGTGTTCTAACGCTGGCTAGGTGTAACACTGGTAGCTGCCCTAGGACTGCGGCTTTTGTTTCGGAGTAAAAGGAGCTGGGAGGAGTGGATGGATGTCCACGAAATTCTGTGTTGAACAAGCCTGAAGATGCTGGGGAAGCCAGAGCTCCGCCCAGGTAGAGTTTAAAGTGGGCAGCTATTGAGTCCACAGCCACCGTGAAGAAGCGCTCCCAGCCAGCGATCCTACCGCAGGTCTGGGGGCCGGGCCGTGGAGGCTCCACCCCATGCCCGGGCTTCCGGATGCCCTTCCGCTGCTGAACCATCGAGACGCCGGCGCGCTGGAACTCAGATTCCGTAGCTGGGCGGTCTGCAGCCTGGAGCGTCTCTATGACTCCCGTGCAGCCGCTCTAGCCCGCGCAGGGGGCGGTCGGAGCGGCTGCGCTAGGCAGCGGGAGGTCCAACTCGTTGGCAGGGACGCGGCCTCCATGCGGGCCCTAAGGAAGGTGCTAATCACGGTCGCAGCGGTGGGCGCAGGGGCGGGCATAGGGTCCGCGCTGTTTGCCCTGGTGACCCCGGGGGAGCTGCAGAAGCAGGCGATGCTGAAGGTAGGCGGCTGTGCGAGGCGGGCAGGGCGACGTGCGGCGTGCCGGGCGGAAGCGAGACCTAGCTGTCCTTGTAGGAGATCCCCGAGCAGCACCCGCATCACAGGGACGAGAAAGCATACACCCAGAGACTCGTGATGGCCACGCTGCAGGAGGCCGCGGCCACACAGGAGAACGTGGCGTGGAGGAAGAACTGGCAGGAAGGCGGAGGCAGCGGCACCAAGTGAGAGCACACGCGCCCAGCGGGGAACGCGGGATGCTGCCCGGGCCAGCAGAGAGCCCGCAACTCAGAAACCCCTTACCCCCACCCGTAATAACCCTGCGTCGTGCAACCCCAAATCTCCATAGGCTCAGCAACCACATTCTCAAAACGTTTTCAAACGGTGTGTTTTCTTTAGGGGAACTACGCGATGCTCAATTTTTCTTTCAGGAGGATTGAACCCAGGGCCCTCGCCCTTACTACATCCCCAGCAGCCCCACTCCATTTTTTAAATTTTGAGACAGGATCAAACTCTCCAGTAAACTCATCAGTGTACACCTGTATAGTGTTAGGTTGAGGGACATGTAGCACCTAAGGAGCAATGCCTTTTATGGCCACTAGTGTGACATTGGTGAAAAGAACTGTCTAAAGATCTGGTTCAACTCTTTCCTGCATGTTAGGAGTTTCGGTTGAGGTGGTGCACACCTGTGATTCCAGCACTCAGCAGGCTGAGCCAAGAGGATCGCTGAGTTTGAGGCCAGCCCAGGCTACATAGGAAGGCCCTGTTCAAAAAAACATAAAGGGGGCTGGGGATTTAGCTCAGTGGTGTTGCTGCCTGCCTTGCAATTGGAAGGTCCCAAGTCAGTACCCGGTACCAAAAACAAAAACCATAAAGGGCAGTGCCTGGGCTCAGTAAATGTGGGCTGTTACCCCTGTGCTCCCCCAAGGTTTTTACTATTAGTTTCCAGCCCCTCACTCCACCCTCACTGGGCATGGAACCCAAGGGCTCTCTAGCACTGAGCTATATCCCCAACCCTTTTTATTTGGAGATAGGGTCTAAGTTGCTAGGCTGGGCTTCAACTTTATTCAGTTTGAACCTTGGCCCAGCCTCTGGCTTACTAAGCACATGGGTTCTCACTGAACAACACCCTCAGCCCATGTATTTCATCCCCTGTGGAGCCTAAGCATGACGAAGAAAGGTTGTATTGATTAAAGCCAGAACACTACTCTGTTAGAAACTAGGGCTGGGAGGTAGCTCAGTGGCACCACACCTGCCTCACAAGCAAGTTCCTGAGTTCCATCCCTGGTCCCAGCCCCCCAAAAAGAAATTAAATCCAGGCAAGAATATATAAGGCCAACACCTTCCCTTTCTCATTAACTTATACCCTGCCCAGCTATTCAGGAAGGAGCCCGGCATGTACAGAACACAGTCCATTTATTAAGAGGAAGATGTCAGTGCCTTAACAAAGATGTAGGTCAAGGATGGTGGGATAAGGTTCTTCAGCTGGGACATTTCTTGGCCACAATGAGTACAGCAGAAGGCACAAGTCCTGAGGATCAATTGAAAAAAACAAGCATGAAACACAAGGACACCTGCTTTCTTCTCCCCAAATAGCAGCTTCACACCGGCTCCACCACCTCCCGTCAGGAGGCACATTCCCATTCCCCATGCCATACCCAGCTCCTGCAGGGGCCGCTCCATGTCAGCCTCAGAGAAGGCCCGTCTGGGGAAGCCACTGAGCAGCTGCACAGGGTCCTGGGTTCCTCCGGGCTCTCCCCCACGGTGTAGCTCCACGTACAGCCTCACAGCCGCCAGCTGTTCCCGGGCTTGGAACGTCTGGGTCAGTGAGGTCCCATCTGGCAGCCTGACCTGGAGAAGAAGGGAGACAGATGCCCAGAACTGTAAGCATCGAAACTGGCCAACAGACACGTGGCTAAAGCTGCCCTTCCTCTCAGACTGAGTTAACCTAACTATTTAAAGCTCATAATAAACTTAATGAATAAAGGGTAATGAACAACCACTCATGCTCTACTTTCCTAAGTGTGAAGGGTCTCTGCGCCCTCATTTATTTTTATTTTTTTGGTACAGGAGATCAAACTCGGTCCTTGTGAGACAGGCAGTGGCACCACTGAGTTAAATCCCCAGCCCTCCTTCATCATTTAATTGAATAATGACACAAGGTGATATACAAATACCAAAATCAACTAGGCATGGTGGTATGTACTTGTAATCCCAGTATTCAAGAGGCTGAGGCAGGAGGATCACCATGAGTTAGAGGCCAGCCTGAATTATGTAGGGAGACATCTCAAAAAACTTAATGAACCAAGAGTGACACAGAAGTATGGATTTAAACACATCTGTGGCAGGGGAATTTGATCTCTTCCCTAAGTAGGAGGTAAGGTTTCAAGTAATTTACAAAGAAGGGAGGAGAAATTTGGCAACCAGAGCATGACTGCAAAATTTTCTGAGCTGGATACCTTATAGGCCACAAAGGAGTTTCAGGAGCAAGACAAGAAACTAGTGTCAATACCTGGATGCGACACTGGTCATACTCCCGCTTGGTGGGAGGCTCCTGGCTGGGAGAAGGAACAGGACCTGGCTCTGTTGCTGGCAGGGATGGCTGACAACTCATACTACCACCGTACTGGAGAACAAAGTATAAAACAAAGTAATACTTAGGGAGAGACTGACACACAAGCCCATGCTTTCCCTGTAAGGCTGGGAGAGGTGATTAACGCAGCTACTCTTTTATACAGTCTTCCCAGTCACCCACCTTCTTAGCTCTCTCTGCTTTGTCCCTTTCTATCTTTTCTCGAACCCTCTGTCTGGAATGCAGACCAGGAGAAAATAGGTCAGATGAGGACATAGCAAATCTCGATCACTTTCTCAGCTACTGACCGTCGGGCCCAGCATGCAGACCTGGCTGCTAACTCTTCAGCCTTTTCCCTCCTCCGCTCCTCAGCGGCCCTTCGCATCTCATCTTCCTGAAGTTTCTGTCGAGCAGCTGTCAGCTCTTGCCCTTGTCTTCTGCGCTGCCTTTCTCGTTCCAAGGCCTCCCGCTCCTCCCTTTCTTCCCGTTCCCGCTGCTTCTGGGCCACCAGTTCCATCATCCTGTTTTGAAGAAAGTAAAGAGTTCAAGGGAAGTGGACGTGGAGTGGAAAAGCAAATTTACAATGGAAATGTGTTTGAAGATGAGAAACGACAGGGCTGGGGATTTAGCTCAGGGGCACCGCGCCTGCCTTGCAAGCCAGAGGTGCTGAGTTCAATGGGGGGGGCACACCAAGAGAAAACTGTGCTACATGTGTGCCTCAGTATTAAAGCACATGCGTAGCATGCCTGAGATGCTGAGTTTTAAAAATGAAAAAAAAAGCCAGGCATGGTAGTGCGCGCCTACAGTCTCGGCATTCTTGAAGCTGAGGCAAGAGGATTGCTTAGAAATCAAGGCAGCCTGAGCTGCACAGTGAGACGCTGCCTTAAAAATAAAAAAAAAAACGAAGGAAGTAAAGAGGCCAAGGTTCTCTCCAGACTCCGCAGGGGAGGGAGAAACCTGATCTTCACTTCACCTCTTGGTCTGTTCCTGTCGCTCCTCTTCGGTCAGGACGGGCCTCCTCTCTCCGGCAGCCGCCTCCGGTCCTGGAACGAGCGCCGGTGTCATGGTCCCTTCGGTCACCCTTAACCCTCTTGCCCACTCCTCCTCCTCCTCGCCGTCTCGCCGACCTTCCGGTCCCGGCTCCCGGCCCAGGGTGCTCCCGCACGGGCCCGGCAGCGGCGAAGGCGGCGGCTCGTCTGCCTCGGGGTCGTCCTCGTGCTCCATGAGCCTGCGGGGCAGGGAGTTAGCGCGTGGCAGAGCCCGTGCTCCCTCCCCCCGCTGTGCGCTCACCAGTCCATCGCGGCCTCGATGCCCTGGTTG